CAACATGGCACAAGTATACATATGTAACAAACCTGTACGTTATGCACATGTACCGTAGAACTTAAAGTATAAAAATAGTAGTAATAAAAAATTAAATAAATAAATAAAATAAATAAAATGGAAAAAAGAACTATGGTAGATATATGAGATAGAATACTACTCAGCCATTAAAAGGAATGAATTAGCAGCATTTGCTGTGACCTAGATGAGATTGGAGACTATTATTCTAAGTTACTCAGGAATGGAAAACCAAACATTGTGCATTTTCACTGATATCTGGGAACTAAGCTATGAGGATGCAAAGGCATAAGAATGATACGATGGACTTTGGGGACTTGGGGGGAAGAGTGAGAAGGGCCGAGGGATAAAAGACTACAAATATGGTACAGTGTATACTGCTTAGGTGATGGATGCACCAAAATCTCACAAAACACCACCAAAAATTTTACTCATGTGACCAAATACCACCTGTACCACAATAACTTATGGAAAAATAAAATTTAAGAAACAAAAACAATAAAATAATAGCCATTCTGACTGGTATGAGATGGTGTCTCATTGTGGTTTTGATTTGCATTTAATGATCAGTTTTATTTCTTTTATAACTAGCAGCTAAATTTTTTAAGTCTAAGTTTTACAATATGTAACCTTCTATATTGGATAGGGGGATGGGAAGGTGTGACGTGATGAAAAGCTCTTTGCAAAAATGACTTTTGTATGAATTTGCATGGTGGTATTTGTCTAGTATGCACTTTACAAAAATTATTATTTTTAATTGAAAATATTACTTCTGATACATCTGGTCACCCTGAGTGGCCTGTGCTTAGAAGCATCAATTTTTTTATCTTTTTTTGGAGGACATTTTAGAGTCTGTAGCCTGACGGAGTTTCTTAAGGTGGTAGAACACACCTAGGTACTTGTGACTGTTTGCTCAGGAAGGCATCAGTTTGGGAGCAGTCACTCTATTCATTGCAGCAGATAGATGCCCACCCCAGGAAAATTTTTCTTGATGATTGAATGAATAAATTTCATGATTCATGGTTTCGTTGAGGATTTTCATATCTATACTATTTAAAATAAACTAGTTAAAGAGAAGTCTGCACTATTGCAGTGTGAAGAATATGCAATGGTAAAATAGTAAAATTTCATTTCTTAAAGCTGTATTAATTTGGCATGCAAATAAAGTGTAATGAATTATTAAATCACTATTTTGCATGCACATAAAATGGATTAGTTATCCAAATTTCAATTGTGCTTCTCTTTTTCTGTCAGTTGAATATATATGATTAACACTGCTTACTTAGCTTTTAAATATGTGTGAGATCCACTGTAAACAAATATTATCTTCACAGTGGTGATGGAGTTACCTTTACCCTAGTTGATCTACAATCATCCATGGCCTAGTTTTTAAGGTAAGAACTTCATTCTAAACAGACTACACCACCCCATATCCAGTCAGACTCTCTAATCTGTATCGGTCACTACTTATAATTCCTTCAGTCTGCCTTACTATTTGCCAACAGAGTAACCCTGCCTTCAAGCTTCCAAATAGGCTCCTCCAAATCTAGCATTAGTTCACTTTTTTTCATTTGGAACAGGTAAGAGAGTGCTTTGAGAATCATTATTTGCAGGGACTCAACTTTGCTTTATTAGAAAATTTTTATTAGTAAATTTCTTATACTTAGCTCATAGGAAATATGTCTGAAATCCAAGTTTGCAATTTATCATGTATGTCAGGATAAATATTTGAAAGTTTACAATTGTTATTACATTTTTAGAGTAACAACCATAAGAGGCTCAGAACACACAACTGTGTTTGAAGTGGTTAGTTTCATAACCCCAAGTTGCAAACCGGACCCTCCACTTGCACCCAGACTGATTAACAGATCCAAGAGCAGCCTGAATTTACAGTGGAAAGTAAGGATTTTACTATCAAAAGCACCTGAACATGTTTTTATAATTTAAAAATACTCTTCCTACAGTGTCCTAAATTGTATAGAATGATGCATGCCTCGTTCGACTTATTTCCCTAGCACTTTGTATTCTTCATAATAATCTTTCACTTCTATGTATACCAAGCATCAAGGAAAATTGAGAAATGTTTGTAAGAATTTCAATAATTAACAAAGTTGGAGTATCGATTTCTACAACTTAATTATTTATAATTGTAGTTACCAATAAATATACCTCTCAATTTGCTTAAGTTCCAATTTTTTTCATTGTATACAATTTGGAAAACATAACAACACAAAGAATCTAAGAATGTCTTGCAGAGTGTAAAAAGTGCATTTTAGCTTTAAAATCTGGATTGCTTCATAAACAAAATATAAGCAGATTAATTTTAGAGTAACTTATATAACTTTAAATGTATGTACATATGCATATATGTATTTAGCATATATATATGTATTCCATGTAAAAACGGCCCCTCATAACTTTTTAAAAATATTTTTAGGGTTCCAATGATAATCGTTCCAAAATAAACAGTTTCCTTTTGGAATGGGATGAAGTATACAGTTTTATTTTTAAAAAGCACTTGATTGTGGATGATTATTAATGCTATGATGAATTTTTGTTGTTAACTGTAGCATTTTATGATATTCTAATATTTTGTGTCTATTATTAAAGGCAAAGGTGAAGACTTCAAAAGTTGCTATATGAGTATCATAAAACAGCACAAGATCCTTGGACTGAGTGTTTCTACAAAACACTCATTCAGATTAGCTGCCAAAAATAACTTTGGCTTGAAGTATATTTAAATGTTTACAATATTTAAATCTATACTTCAATAAGAATCTGAGACTAATTTTCCATCTTAATCTATTTTTCAGTGATTTCAGTTAAACAGCAGTCTTCCATACATCAGGAACTACGCCTCCAACACCTCCGCCTCCTAAGCTAAAAGAAGCAAGAATCCGTTATTTGTCATTAGACTGGTGTGCCCCAACACAAACCCAAATGACACCCCTACTTATGTACTAGAAATGGAGGAAGCAGGATCTGTACATTTTTCTTTCATATGCTTTAATCTTCAACCTCAGTTTTAGGTATTTGTTACATGGATTCCACACTTGAGAAGAGTTTTAATTTAATCAATTTGCTTTCTACTGAGTCAATTCATTCAGGAATCGCATGATTCCTGAGTCCCCTGTGTTCTGCAGGGAGCCAATACAGAGCCTATGTTGGGTCAGGAATTGCATGACTCCTGACTTCCTGTGTTCTAGATGGGGCCAGCTCAGAGCTGGGGTTAGGCAATGCTGCACAGAAAGATCTAAAACTACTCAAGTCCCTGCAAATTAGCTAGAAGCAGCAGCAGCCATAACAATAGCATAGAGACTCAGAGAATTGTGTTAGTTTTTAACTTTGGGCCTATACCAGACAACCTTGCATAGTCACATAAATCTTCAGCACCTCAACATATTTCTACCCTTTGTTCCTATCACTGGATTCCTGATAAGGGCAGGCAACTATTTCATTCCATCCTGAACTTTCAAGTCTGTACTGAATAGGCTGGTAAATTTGTAAAGCAGCTGTAAATTATATTATGTATATTTTACCACAGTTTACATAAAGTAGATAAATTTTGAGAAGTGTTCTATGCTGCAAGTAACGTACTAAGTGCTTTCACATTCATTACCTCATTAAATCCCCCCAAAGGAATGAGCCTGTCAAAGTAGAAATTATCTCCATTTTTTATACAGAGAAACTGAAGTTCAGAGACACTAAGGGACCTGCTCAGAATCACCCAGATGGAAAATAAATTGAAGTTGTAATGCATGCTTGTCCAGTTCCAAAGTTCATTGTCTTTCTAGGGTTTAGATTTTAAGCCGAAATACAATGGAGAAGACTTTTCATGCACTATAAGAAGTCTTCAGAGAAGTACTACATACAAGGGTATGTGGCTATACTTTTATAAATTTGTGTCATATTTTAATATAAAATTATACTTTTCACCAGACAAATGAGTGTATTTTATTTGAAATTAAACCTTATTTTGTATTTAGTTCTTAGAAATGCTCACTCAACTTACTTTATATTTGCAAACTGAACATTTTCAAATCAGACATTCATTTGCAATGGTCAGCCACATCATCCTCTTTTATTTAAACAGATCTTTGCCTGCAATATGGAAGGAAGAAGCAACTCCAGTGGAGAAGTAAAATATACTACCTGTCCAGATAAAACTGGATCCCCTAGAAAACCATATATAAAGGGAAAGATCCATGCACACAGTGTAAAAATGGGATGGAATAAGTAATGTTTTTGTATTTAAAATTTTCCCTCTGTCTTAATATTAACTATTGAGAAGAAATCTTCCTCTCATTGTCCTCAGCTTTATAAAATGTTCTCTTAATCATTTATATGTGAGATATTCTGCCATATAAATGGGTTTAGTTGTAAACTATATTATTTTTCTAGTTCTCTCTTGCTACCTCATTAATTTGCACATGAACAAATTGTTGAGCTTTATGTGTCCTTAAGTAAGATTACATCTAATATGGAGGCCACAATTAGAAGGCCACATCAGTGATAAACGTCAGCTTAAGAAATTATATTCATACAAATTATTTTCTCTCCAAACTAGAGAAATCAACTTTATGGCACATATACTTAGCTTTTCAGTCTCTTGCAAATAACTTTACAATATTTATTTAAATGCTTCATGTCCAATATTCCAAGCATGTAACTTGAATTATGTTTTTATTATCTTTATTAATGTCTGGTTATTAATACACTATTGTTTCATGTTTACATTTTTTCCTCTGTGAAAAATTTTTGTTAACTCATGAGATAACATTCAAGTGGGAGACTTTTAAGTTTATTCAAGAATAATTTTGATTTTATTTCTCTTTGCAGAACCATCCAAAGATAATGGTGGAACATACATTTCAAGTTACAGTTTAGAAGTTAGTGAAAATTCAGATGGTAAGGCATCATGATTTTTTAAAATATTTTATTTTGAAATGATTTTAGACTCACTAGAAATTGCAAAAAAAAAAAAAAAAGGTATAGAGGGTTCCCATGTTAAATCTTCACTCAGCTTCTCCTAAGATTAATATTTTACATAACCATAGTACAATTATCAAAACTAGGAAATTGGCATTGGGATAATACTATCACCTAAACCCAAGAAATTACTTGAGTTTCTGCAGTTTTTAGTAATAAATCATGTTTACTGACTGATATCTTATGATTTTATGGTTAATTCACGGGGCATATATTATTTTACTATTGAAATAGATAACTGGACCAACTTCGTTTCCAAAGTTGTTATTTCTTAGTATATACATGAGATATCACAGAAACCGATAACATTTATAAGCAAGCTGGACATAGTGGTTCATGCCTGTAGTCCCAACACTTTAGGAGACCAAGGCGGGTGGATCACTTGAGGTCAGGAGTTCAAGACCAGCCTGGCCAACATGGTGAAACTCCGTCTCTACTAAAAATACAAAAATTAGCCAGGTTTGGTGGCACAGGCTGGTAATCCCAGTTACTTGGGAGGCTGAGGCATGAGAATCGCTTGAACCCGGGAGGTGGAGGTTGCAGTGAGACAAGATTGCACCACTGCACTCCAGCCTGGACGATAGAGCAAGACTCCACTCAAAAAAATTTTTTTAAATGATAAGCTACCCATAAATAAATTGAATAAATTTGCTTTTATCCCTTCAGTGAATCTCTGGAACATAATTTACAGTGGCAACAAAAGGGAATTTCTATATAATCACCTGCAACCTGGTACTGCATATAAACTGAGAGTCTTTTGTAACTCACTTATAGTCCAGACAGGTGAGAAAAGAAAGATGGAAAACATTTTAAACTGAAGACTGAAATGAGCTGTATCATATTACTAAATGTTTTACAAAACTGAACTTTAATTCAGTACAGTCATAACGTATTTTTTCTTTCTCTTAGCCTTTAGATATATTGACTATTCAAACACCTACTCTTTCTCCTGCATCATGCTGTCCTCCACCCTTGAATGGTAAGACAAAATCCAGAGAAACCAATGTCCTATGCAGTGAGGCTTCTTTGTATGATTTGTATGACTAAGCCTATATTTCCTGTTTTGTAACTTTTGATTTTTTATATATTAAATGATATTAAAGCAGAAAGAGTGATTTTCTTTTAGTATATAATCAAATATTGGTCAGCCAATTGTTTCTTTTTTTACTTTGTTCATTTTTTAGATTCTGGGTCTCACTCTGTCACCCAAGCAGGAGTGCACTGACAGTAATCATAGCTCATTGCAGCCTTGAACCCCTGGGCTCAAGCAAACCTCCCTCTTCAGCCTCCCGAGTAGCTGGGACTACAGGCATACACCGTCATGTCCAGCTACATTTTTTATTTTTTGAAGAAACAGGGTCTCACTTTGTTGCCCAGGCTGGTCATGAATTCCTGGCCTCAAGTGATCCTCCCACCTCAGCCTCCCAAAGCACTGAGATTACAGGCAGGAGCCACCGAGCCTGGCTAGTTGTTTCTTACTTAGTAATTGCAACCACAAATTTTTTTAAGTCTGTAAATAAAATTTAAAAATTAATTGACACGATTACTATATTTTGAGTCTTCTGTTACTTTAAGTGTTTTAACAGTCTTCTCAAATTATTTTGTATAATTTTAGAGAAGCACCTTTAAAACTATTTACAAAATACTTTAAATTTGATTTTGTATATTTTAATAGAAAATTCTGTTGCTAATGGAAACCCTGAAGCACTTGTATGTGTCAAAAAAGCAAACGGTAACCACGATGACACACAAGGGCACCCTGGCTCTGAAGTGAAATATAGATTGAGTAAACAAATTCCTGTAGAATACACAATTTCTAATTAAAAACAGCAAATAGGGATAGAGAAGTTATATTGTTACGTTGTCCCATTTGTAGTCCATTTCACTTTGGATGGATATATGCTGCTACTTCCCGTCAAGGTGGGAAGTGATCATGCCTGCACAATCATTTGTATGTTTGCTTATTTGTTTGTTTGTAGTTTGGATCTTTCAATGAAGTGTGAAACCGCATCAGTCCCAGGCCCTCCTTCTCAATGTGGTATACCTGTACTAACCTGAAAGGGTCCAAACTGTGTTGTTGTTAGTTGGGGAGTATGTTATCAATTTATTGTTATTAATTTATGATTATTATAAAAGCACAGTAATTTTTTTAGAACCTTTTTTGGAAACTCTGGAACTCCCTAAGAAGTCAGAGTTTAGAATTAGAATCCCACAAATCTTGGATCATGGTTTCTGGAACACACCTAGGATGTAATACTAATGGTACTAGGAAGGCTATAGCAATGCTAATCCTGCTCTACAGAGCCTATATTTGAGGAGAGTAATACATTTGGAAAACCAAGTAGAATATCAATAGGTCACTAATTTAATTTTTAAAACTAAAATAAGAGATAAAGTTAAATCAATTTATAGAACTTAGCATTTTTTAAAGCGTCATTGGGAAATCTCTGGTCATGTTTGCTTGCATGTAACTATACAGTATGACACATAAGAAATGTGGCTATAAGATAATGAAGCTTTAAAAAAAACAAACTTTTGGTTGGGCGCAGTGGCTCACAACTGTAATCCCAGCACTTTAGGAGGCCGAGGCAGGCAGATCACCTGAGGTCAGGAGTTCAAGACAGCCTGACCAACATGGAGAAACCCTGTCTCTACTAAAAATACAAAATTACCCAGGCGTGGTGGCGCATGCCTGTAATCCCAGCTACTCGGGAGGCTGAAGCAGAAGAATCACTGAATCACTTGCACCCGGGAGGCAGAGGTTGCGGTGGACCAAGATGGCGCCATTGCTCTCTAACCTGGGCAACAAGAACGAAACTCCATCAAAAAAAAAAAAAAAACAGAAAATAACTTTTTTACATCCATGTGAATATTTTCACATTCAAACTAAGCTCTAAAAAATAAAAATAAAAAAATAAAATAAAATAAAAAAAAGAGGCCTAATTATTCAGCCATGTAAGTATCTTTAAAATTTTCTTCCCTTTTTCCCAGACTCTAGCAGGGTATGTGTAGCATTAACAAAAAGCCTTAGTGTCTTAATAATAGATGACAGGTATGATTACATCACTGTATCACTGTATCACTGTATAAAGGCCAGAGAATACTGGGGTTTGTGTTTCATCTCAGTAACCAATAGTAATATAAAGCAACATTAGTATATGTAAGTTTGCTCTTTTTTAAGTAACTCACTTAAAAATAATTTTAATACATTTTTAAAGGCATTCATCTAATATGTAAAATTAGATGATCCTTTTTCTTAGTTTTATTTGAGCCTTTTAATGTTAATTATAGTATACTGCCTTATGCTTAATTATTTCTACACTTGTCTGTATCTCATAGCATTTAATAGATTATAAGCTTTGACACTGAAAGGATTATGCTGTAACTCTTGACAGTATCTAGTATAGTGACTACCTAGAGAAAGAACTCAATTTCTGTGTCTGTTGCATCTTTCACATTCCTGTATGCAATGGTGCTGAAATCACTGATTACAGGCTAGAGTGGGGACAAATTGAAAAATCAGTGCACTTGATTGACACAAGCCCTTGCTTGAGCTATGAAGTTAAAGGTCTCATTCCTGCAACTACATATTTTTGCAGAGTCCAAGGAAACCTGACAGTTCCTCCAATGTAAACAAGACAACAGCTCATAACCTATGCTATCCACAGTCATAATACTGGCAGCATTTCCAATATGGAAAGCAGGAGATAGTCACAGACTTCCAAATGTTAGATATTGCTCATATTCAGTGGCAACATTCTGAGCTCCTGCACCTGGCTTTGAAAGTCTCACATTATCTAGCACCTACTTTCCATTCCACCTTCATCTGCCATTATTCTCTCTACAGTTCTGTGTTTCCCAAATTTCCCTGAACCTAAGAATCATCTGATATGCTTGTTAAAAACACTGACTCCTATACCCTCACTCAGACCTATTGAATCAAAATTTCTAATCCAGAGGTTTGCTAATCGTATATTTAACAAGCACCCAAAGTGATAATTATCATCAATTAGGAAAAACTGCATGAACTCTCCATTCCAAACAAACAAGTCTACTCCGCAATAACCACTAACAAATATGCCATGTGCATTTGTTCATACTGTGCTCTCTGCCTATCTTGTTCCTTAAAATCAAGCTCTTGTATAAATGTTTCCCTGATAAGCAAAATGGAAGTGATCTCTTCCTCTTCTTAACTACTAGAACTGTAAGATTCATAACCTGAACACTGATACTTGATATCTAATTTCCATCCCTCAGATTGCCTTTCATAACTGAAAGTTGTCTTTTTAAAAAAAAATCCTTTGTCAGATTTGTTGGGTGTCACTATTTTTTGTGTTGGAAAAAATGCTCTCACAATACATATTTATTAATTAGGATGTCATTGCAATAGCCCAAAGGATAGGGGATGAAAGAAGACATACAAATGGCCAACAGGTATATTTTTAAATGCTCAACATTAGCAAATCAAAACCACAATAAGATATCATCTTAAACCAGTCAGAAGGCTATAATTAAAAAGACAAAGAAGGCCAGGCTTGATGGCTCAGGCCTGTAATCCCAGCTCTTTGGGAGGTTGAGGTGGGAGGATTCCTTGAGCCCAGGAGTTCAAAATCAGGCTGGGCTCTGCTGACTGTTCCTTTTGCCATGCAAAAGCTCTTTAGTTTACTTAGGTCCCAGCTATTTTTTTTTTTTTCAATTGCTTTTAAGTTTCTGGTCATGAAATCCTTGCCTAAGCCAATGTCTGGAAGGGTTTTTCCAATGTTATCCTCTAGAATTGTTATAGTTTCAGGTCTTAGGTTTAAGTCCTTAATCCATCTTGAGTTGATTTTTGTATAAGGTGAGAGCTAAGGATCCAGTTTCATTCTCCTACATGTGGCTAGCCAATTATCTCAGCAGCATTTGTTGAAAAGGCAGTCCTTTCCCCACGTTATGCTTTTGTTTGCTTTGTCAAAGATCAGTTGACTGTAAGAATTTGGCTTTATTTCTGGACTCTCTATTCTGTTCCATTGGTCTATGTGTGTATTTTTTTTTTAATTATACTTTAAGTTCTAGGGTACATGTGGATGACGTGCAGGTTTGTTACATATGTATACCTGTGCCATGTTGGCATGCTGCACCCATCAACTCATCAGAGTCCCATGCTGTTTTGGTGACTACGGCCTTATAGTATAGTTTGAAATCAGGTAGTGTGATGCCTCTGGATTTGTTCTTTTTGCTTAGTCTTGCTTTGGCTATGCGGGCTCTTTTTTGGTTCCATATGAATTTTAGAATTGCTTTTTCTAACTCTGTGAAGAATGATGGTGGTATTTTGATGGGGATTGCATTGAATTTGTAGATTGCTTTTGGCAGTATGGTCATTTTCACAATATTGATCCTACCCATCCATGAGTATGGGATGCGTTTCCATTTGTTTGTGTCATCTGATTCTTTTAGCAATGTTTTGTAGTTTTCCATGTAGAGGTCTTTTGGCTCCTTTGTTAGGTATATTCCTTTTTTTTTTTTTTTGCAGGTATTGTAAAAGGGGTTGAGTTCTTGATTTGATTCTCTGCGTGGTCACTGTTGGTGTATAGAAGGGCTACTGATTTGTGTACGTTAATCTCGTATCCAGAAACTTTGCTGGTTTTTTTTGTTTGTTTGTTTTTTTTTTTTTTTTTTTTTTTTTTTTGGAGATAGAGTTTCAGTCTTGTCTCCCAGGCTGGAGTGCAGTGGTGCAATCTCAGCTCACTGCAACCTCCTCCTCCCAGGTTCAAGTGATTCTCCTGCCTCAGCCTCCCAAGTAGCTGGGATTACAAGTGTGCACAAACACGCCTTTTCTAATTTTTGTATTTTCAGTAGAGACAGGGTTTCACCACGTTGGCCAGGCTGGTCTCGAACTCCTGAGCTCAGGTGATCCACCTGCCTCGGCCAACCGAAGTGCTAGGATTACAGGCATGAGCCACCGCGTGCAGTCTGCTGAATTCTTTTATCAGTTCTAAGAGCTTTC